AAAAAAAAAAAAAAAAGATTGGAGGAAGAGTCTTTAACAACCTGTGATACTCTGATGACATAACTTTGCTTGCTGAAAGTGAGAATGACTTGAGGCACTTACTGATGAGGATTGAAGAATACAGTCTGCAGTATGGATTACATTTCAGTATAAAGAAAACAAAAATCCTCACAACTGGACCAATAAACAGTAACATGATAAATGGAGAAAAGATTGAAGTTGTCAAAGAGTTAACATTGTTTGGTTTTACAGTCAACACCAATGGAAATAGCAGTCAGGACATCAGGCGACGTATAGCATTGGGCAAGTTGGCTGCAAAAGACCTCTTTCAAGTGCTGAGGAGCAAAGATGTCTCCTTGAGGACTAAGGTGACAAGCCATGATATTTTCAATCACCTCATATCCATGTGAGAGCTGGACAATGAGTAAGGAAGACCGAAGAAAATTGATGTTTTTGAGTTGTGGTGCTGGCGAAGAATGCTGAAAGTACCATGGACTGCTAAAAGAACTAGCAAATCTGTCCTGGAGGAAGTGCAGTTGGAATGCTCCTTGGAAGTGAGAATGGCTATACCGTCTCATGTACTTTGGTCATGTTGTCAGAAGGGACCATTCCCTGGAGAAGGATGTCATGCTTGGTAAGGTGGAGGGTAGATGAAAGAGGTGAAGGCTGTCAACGAGATGGACTGACACAGTGGCTGTGACGTTGGACTCAAGTATAGCAAGGATCATGGAGCTGGTACGGGACTGGGCAATGTGTTGTTCTTCTGTGTATGGGGTCACTATGAGTCATAGATGACTCAACGGCACCTAACAACAATAACAACATGGCATTGCTCAGAGTTCAGAGGTCGGAAGAAGCTGCAAAACAGTTAGAAAAAGTGAGGCTTTGGGAGCAGGAAAAAAAAAAAAAAAAAAAGGAAAATATTTGTACCTCACAGTTTTGTGGCTGTGGACCTTGATCATCTGGCATCTTTTAGGACACTGTTGACTTAAGCAAACTGGCTTAAACAACAAGGAAATCTTTTCATTCCACTGACTGGGAGTCCAGAGATAGGTGGGACCAGGAGCAGTAGGATTCAGCAGTTGTCAGAGACTCACATTCTTTCCATCTCTGGTTACCTAGACCAGAGATTTTTCCTTAATTTCTTTCCCCTCATGGAGCACCTGGAGCACCACAATTCCATATTTTCACCCATTAGGAGAGAGAAGTGCTTCTGTTTCTCAGATTGCTCTGCACACCTGTCCTTTTGTCTTGTGAACCTAAGTTGACTTTCGCCTGGCCCATATTTCAGTTATTCATTGGCATAAGATACAATTACCTTAATTGTTTAGTCTAGTCATCTGGGTGGTCCTCGGAAGGAAGGTTGGGCAATCTACTTCTGTAGTGATACAGCCCCGGAAACCCAAAGAGGGGTCGCTATGAGTTGGGGCCGACTCGACGGCAAATAACAACAACAATAGTCATCTGGGTGTGTTGAATACTGAGAAGTTAACCAAAATGTCTGTCATGACTCTATTAACTTTTCTGAGTCTCAAATTCACCTCCTGTAAAATACCTAATTCATGGTTTTTGAGAAAATGAAACAAGATCAAATTTATATTCTATTAGCAATAAAACTTGACATCTAATAGTTGTTCAATGAATGAAGGACGTTATTACAGAGATGATATCACATACCAGGAATGGAGGAGTTAAACTCACCATTCACATATACATGGGTGCCTGGACCTGACTTGTACTCCTTGTCAGGTTTTCCTTCCTGGAACTTGACACAGTAGTAGGTGCCAGCATCTACCAGAGAGATTTCACTGATGCGGATGGAGAAGTCTATGTTGTCAGCTTTGGTGGTATCTCCAATTTGTTTTACTCTGGGAAAGAGACCTTCATTGAAGTCATAGATTAATTTCCGATTTGGTCCAGTCCCCTTGAACCACAAAATGGGTCCATCTGGAAGTGAATCTGATACAGTACAACTCAAGGTGAGTGTGTCCCCAGTTGATACAGTCACTGACATCTCAGGTTGTTGTACCTGGAACTTCTCATTTGTGGTTCCTGAAAAGAAACTCAAAATCATCTCCCATTTCCTCTGCTTTGGCTTAGGCTGGGCTGGGGAGTGTGGAACCAGGTCAGGGTTGGGCCTCACTCACTAATTCTTTTAATAACATGTATGAACACCCACATCTCAGACTTATAGAGGTCTCTGTAAGTGAAGAAAGCTCCTTCCCTCAGTGTTGACAGTGAGGAGTCAGTCTAGAGACCCAGTTCCACCACTAGTGCAGCCCCATTTCTCAAACCCCAACCAAGGTAAGAGGAGGACAGGGGTGGAAGGAGTTCATACAGGGGTAGTGTCACCATCCAGAGGTCAAAAATCACTAAATAAGTTTGGAGGCAGGGTCCAACTCCTCTCTTCTACCTCATGTTGTTGTTGTTATGTGCCGTCGAGTCAGACCCGACTCATAGCGACCCCTCCTTGGGTTTCTGAGGCAGTATCACTACGAAAGTAGATTGCCCCATCTTCCTTCTGAGGAGTAGCTGGTGGGTTTGAACTTCCAGCCTTCTGGTTAGCAGTTAGGTGCTTTTAGGCACTATGCTATCAGAGCTCCCCCTCATAGCTCCAATGAATTTGAGATTAGTTTTCATCTCTCTTATAGGTGACCAGACAATAAATTTTTAGATTAGTGCTGAGAGGTGTGAAGAAAGGGGCAGTCAAGAGATAGCAAAGTTCAAAAATGAAGGGTCATATGGGGAGTACTATGTTCATGGAGACACAGTTTGGTTCCTCCACTTACCTCCTCGGTAGGGTAGAGAGGGCCTGTTTCTCCTCCTCAACAACAAAAGAGGTGAGCCTCAAGAGCCCTCATCAATTTTGGAGGGTCAAGAACTGACACTACCATTACCATCAATACTTCACATTGTATCAAGTTCTGGTAATAATGACTCCTCTTCAGGTTGGCAAACCATCAAAACCATAGACCAAAGACTCCCCAAAGCAGGGTAGGGAGTCAGGGGAACATGTGAGCTGGCAAAACTGAGAAGGGATGTCAGGGAAGAAGCCTGCACTCACTTTATTTAGCTAGACAGAAATATATGAGTCACGTGGATGCCGTGGAACATGATTGGACTTGAGAGAAACAACAGTAGGGAAGCTCTGTTTTCTAAGTGTAATAAAGGGGCAACCTAATCTCACTGTTTTCTTAAGATGAATTCAAAGAATGGTGAGGAGGAAGCAGCACTTGTCCTCAGGGAACAAGTATAGGATGGATGGGTGAGGGGGATCGTGCAAGCTTGTAGAGATTCTGGCTGCCTGCAGATGTATTTGTTTTGCTGGAGATAATGGGCATATAGGGGAAAACTTCATCCATGTTGAGATTCCATCCTGAAGCCAGAGCTAAGATGTAGCAGCAAGGGCCTGTGGCTGTTAAGTTCTGGGTCATGGAATAGGTCATAATAAACATAATGTATATTTCTGCACTCAGGATTGTCCCTAAAGCCTTAGAAAAGTCACTCAGCCTCTGGGTCTCAGATTTCTTGCTCTTTGAACCAGGCAGCAGGAATATGTAGCTGCATTTTGTCTACACAGTATCTTTTTGTTTGGGGATGTCCTTTCCTCCATGTTAGTGGGTTCTGGTAGAGTTGGCCATAAGGGCACGTATGCACCTGGCCCAAGAAAGACCGATTGAGGTAGTTTGAGCACGCACACGGTCCAGCATATAGCTATTGTTCAGTGTAAGGTGGAGAATTTTAAGGACCCATCTTCACAGCCTGAGGAGGTGGGTAATTCAGTTTGTACTCACTGTTCACAAACATATGGGGACTGAGACAAGACTTACACTCCTTGCCAAGATGCCCTTTTCTGAACTTCACACAGTAGTAGGTGCCAGGATACCTGGGAGACATGTCACTGATGCAGGTGTAATACTTCGTTTTGCTAGAAATTTGAGTTATTCAGAAGAATAAACCTCCATGGAAATGGTAGATTAATTGTCATTCTGTCACAATCTCCTTGAACCACAAAATGGGTCCTGCAGGGGGCAGAGCAGCTGTGTTGCAATCCAGGGTTACAACATCTCTGCTTTGACTGACACCCACTTCTGAGGCTGCTACACCTGGAACTCTTCACCTGACATCCCCAGAGAGTAACCTGGAGTCATCTCTCATGTTCCTGTCTTAGCAAAAGGTGGTCTGAGGGTCTGGAGACCTGTTTCTAAGTCAGGACGTCAAGATGAGATTTCATTATTTACTTTTTTCCTCAGCAATGTGTATTGGGTCTTAGTTGCCTCCACCAAGGAAAGCTTTGGAGTTGGGGTGACACACAAGACCTCTCCTTTTGGTCTGCAGAGTCCCCAGATGTAGCCTCAGGCCATGGTAGGATTCTACACCCACTCAGACTTCCAGTGTAGACTATGGTCCCAGACTGGGTTGTGGTGGCTACTCAGGTACCTATTTTTTTTTTTTTTTTTAAATTTTTTATTGTGAGGTGGTGAAAGTTTACAGAGCAAATTCATTTTCCATACAGCAGCTCACATACACTTTGTCTCATGACATTGACTGCAATTTCCTACAGTGCCACAGCTCTCTTCCCACTTCCCCCCCATAGTTACCTCTTTCCTGTGTCCTTCCCTCCCGTGCACTCCTGCCCCCTGAGCGTCTCCCTGTGCATACACAGCCCTTCTATTCTCCCATGATTGATCTCTCCAAGGAAGGTATCTACCAAATGTAAATGTTCAGCTCATATGCTTGTCTTTTGTTTAGCTGGAAGCCACAGGAGTGGGTTCAGTTCGAGTCCTGAAGGGCAGCTAGGGGCCATAGTCTCAGTGGTTCCACCAGACTTTATCAGACCAGCAAACCTGGTCCCTTTTTTAAAAAAAAAAAAAAAAATTATTTTAAGTTTTGTTCCACATTATTCTCCCACTCTATCCAAGATCTCCTGCACAGACCCACCCCTCCAAATGGTTGGCAGTGGTAGCCGGGGACCATCTATTTCTTCTGGTTTCATGTAGTCATATAGGCTGAGGATCATGTGATGTAGCAGTCCCTTGGACTAATTGTTTCCATGTGCCTTTGGTTTTCTTCATTCTTCTTTGCTCTGGACGAGGAGAGATCCATCGTTGCGTCTAGATGACTGCTTGCAAACTTTTGAGATCCCAGTCCCTAAAGTACCTGTTCCTTAATGGCAATTAGGAGAGTAGTGCAATCTGCAGAGATTCTGGTTGCTTGGGGCTCCAGAAGTCAGAGTGGCCTGTTCTTGGTTCAAGATATAACAGATACTTGGGGAAAACCTTACCAGTTTTGAGCATCCATTCTGGTTCATCCAGAGCTAGGAGTTGGCTGCAAGGGTCAGCAATTAGAAGTTTGGGGTCAGGCATGATAGACACAATAGACACCCTCATCTTTCTCATTCCCAGGGTAGAGAAGCTTCACAGAGAGGCCGATCAGGGCAAGGACACACATGGTGGTTCACTTCCTCAGACCAGATGTGGGGTGTGGGTGGAAACAGAGGCCTCCAGCTGAATCTCAGCTATACGGATGATTTTTTTTCTTTAATTCTTACTTGGGATAAAAACTATTGGAATGAAAGTGCCATGAAATGAAGGGATGCCTTTGTTAAAATCAATAGAAACATTAAAAATAAAATCCTCTAATTTATTTATAAAACACTAATTGAGGCCTATAAATGAGTAAAGAAACCTAGTTATGTTTGGGCCATTAGCCTTTTCCCTTTTCAAGCAGCCAAAAACCTTAGAAAAATTCTAAACTGAAAAGGAGGTTTTGAATTTTAGTAATATATGAAACATTGTGCATAAGATTGTATCACTGTAGACATTCTCTGTTATATACATGAACCTTCATATATGTATGTGTGTGTATATATATATCTATAGTTTTATATATATATATATAATATTTAAGGTTGGGCAATCCTACTTCCGTAGTGATACTGCCTCGGAAACCCAAGGAGGGGTCGCTATGAGTTGGGGCCGACTCGATGGCAAACAACAACAACATAATATTTAAACTTATTGGACATTCTTCCTTTAGTTTTGTTTATCCCTTTTTTGTAATAGTACAAAAAATTTGATTTACATTTGTGTTAAAGAGCACTTCTTAGTTCAGCAATCTTTAACAAATTCATGCCATGTAAATCTGGTATTTTGTGTAAAGTAAGAGAAGAAAGTAACATTCCTCAACGCAGATTTTACCAATTTTCTACTGAAAGGCTACATTACAGATTATGAGGGCCTGAGGGAGCCAAGTCTAGATCCAGAGTAATAATGTAATTTACTTGTTGATATATCTTAAAAGTAATTTAAAAGAAGAATAAAAGTTTCTAGGAGCCAGAAGATGACATAGCAATGCTACTACCAAAATTGTAAAATGTGACGCTGGAGGCACAGCAATTTTAACTTTGATTCAATAATGAAGATGACTTTTCTCTCCTCTTTGGTGGATCTTGAAGGATATGATGTAGCTCAGATACAGTAAGTTGAGAATTCTTCAGATGATTTTTATACACTTCTCCAGTTTAAGCACGTAATGGAGACTTGTAAGCAAGGATCAATGATAGTAAATCAGTTAAAGTTAAACCACTTCTTTTGATTATAGTTGTTGTTGTTATTAAGTGGCATTGAATCATTTGGGACCCACAGTGACCCCATGGACAACAGAACAAAACACTGCCCTGTCCTGCGCCATCCTCACAATCCTTGCTATGTTTGAGCCCGTTTTTGCAACCACTGTGTCAAGCCATTTCTTTGAGGTCTTCCTCTTTTTCACTGACCCTCTTCTTTACCAAGCATGATTTCCCTCTCTAAGGACTGGTCCCTTCTGACATGTCCAAAGTTTGTGAAACGGTGTCTCTCCAGCTCCCAGCTGTACTTCTTCCAAGACAGATTTGTTCATTTTTCTGGCACTCCACGGTATTTCAATAATCTTCAGCAACACCATAATTCAATTGCACCAATTCTTCTTTGGTCTTCTTATCCATTGTCCAGTTTTGCACGCAGATGAGGTGATTGAAAAGATCATGACACAGCTTAGTCCTCAAGGTGCACCTTTGCTTTTTAATGCTTTAAA